TGCTCTGAATCTACCATAGAAAAGGGTAAGGCAAGCCTCTAAAGGATTCAGTTAATCTACACGTTACTTAACTGCACAATAGATTAAAATCCAATGTTCTTTAGAGAAATACAAAGAAATCCAGCCCCGAAAAATGTCACAATATCTGGCATTCAAATAACAATTACTAGGAATGCAAGAAAAAAGGAAGAAAAGTATGACATACAGCTAGCAGAAAAATCAAAGTAACATCCTAGAAATGACAGAGGGGAAAGAATTCTAAGAGGAGGACCCTAAAATAGCTATTATAAATAAGATAAATATGCTCAAGGACATTAAGAAAAATACAAACTTGATTAGGGGAGAAATGGATGATATAAAGATTCACAATTCAGTTTCAAAGATAAAAAATACTACATGTGAAATGGAAAATATTACAGCAGACTTGATAAGGATAAAAATTTATTATAATAAAGTACTGAAAATACAAAAAAGGAGTTGGAAAAATATCAACAATGCCTCAATGAACCTTAGTGTAACATCAAGTGGTCTAACATATAGGAAACTAGAGTCCCAGAAAGAGGAATGGGTGCTATAGAGATAATAGCTGAAAAATTTCCAAAACTGGTGAAAACTATAAACTGATGAATGCAAGAACAACAAAGAGCAGATAAAGAAAACATTAAAAAACACATTAAGGTATCCCATAATAAATCAAATTATGAAGATCAAACATAAAGAGAAAAATCTTGAAAGCAGCCAGAGAGGGGGAACACACTAGGTGCTGAGGAACAAAGAATGGCTTCAGACTTTCTGTCTAAAACTGTGCAGGGCAGGGAACAATGGAACAACATTTTAAAATTACTGAGAGAAAAAGAAAACACTGCTAAAGAATTGAACATAAATTTCTAAAATTAAGATGTAATATAAATTGTTTAAAAATCAATACAACATGAGAGCAATTCTTACCAGCAGGAATTTACTATAAGACATATTAGAGGAAATTGTCCGAGCAAAAAAACAAAACAAAACAAAAAGTGATACTAAATAGAAGTTTGGAACCTTCAAAAGAAATCTGGTATACCAGAAATGGTCAGTATGTATAAAAGTAAAAAACACTTCTGTTCCAAGCAAAAATAATAATGTACTATCAGTTTTATAACATATACACAATTAAAATGTATGACAATTGCACACACGCTAGGAAAAGAGAAAGAAAATAATATGTTAAAAGGATCTCATACTATACATGAAGTAGTAAAATTTGAAGATAGACTGTGACAAATTAAAGATTTTACTGTAAACATTACAGCAATCACTAAAATATTAAACAAAAGAGGCAGAGCTAATATGCCAATGGTGAAAAGAGAAACACACACACAAACCTAAACAAGGCATGAAAAGAGGAAAAACTAAAAGATGAAATAAGTAAAACAAACAAAACAAGATGGTAGATTTGAAGTAATGACCATAAATGTAAACAGTCTAAACACTTCAATTAAAAGACAGGTTGTCAGCTGAATAAAAAGCAAGACTCACCACTGTAAGACAAAAAGTTTTTAAAGACTTCATAGATAAAAATTAAAAAATTAGAAAGAATTTCTGTATATCATGCAAAAACTAAAAAGAAAACTAGAGTCACTATATTAATATTAGACAAAGTAGACTTTGAAATAAGGAAGGTGACCAGAAGGATCATCTCATGACAAAAGGATCATTTTATCAAGAGGACAAAACATACATATCTGGTAAGAATGCAAAACGGTACTGGCACTTTAGAAAAGAGTTTGGAAGTTTCTTATAAAGTTAAATATATACTTAACATACACCCCAGCAATCTCACTCCCTTACTCCTAGGTAACTTCTAAAAACATACATACGTACAAAGACTTGTATGTGAATGTGTAAAGCAGCTTTATTTATAAGAGCCAAACATGGAATGCACCCAAATGTCCAGGTGGTGAATGTGTAAAGTGTGGGGTATCCAAACTATGGAATGAACAGACCACTAAGAATAAAAGAGACAAACTATGAATTCAACCATCACATGACAAAATGGATGAAATCTGTAATGAACATTGGTAAGTCAAAGTCATAATTCCATTTACTAAAGTTCTAGAAAAGGTAAAAGTCTAGTGCTCATGGACAGATAAGTGAATGCCATGGGCTGGGAGGAAAGGGAGAAAAAATTAACTGCAAAAAGTTCACTGACACTTTTTCAGGTAATGAAAATGTTACGTATCTTGATTGTGATGGTGGTTACACAACTGTATCTATTTCTCAAAATTCAAACTATACACTTGGTAAATTTCAGCATACGTAAATTGTCACTAGAAATTATTCACTTTCTGTACCGGAAGAGTTAAATTATCTGTCCACATTAAAGATGATGGAGAACAGATGACAGTTAGTGCGGGGGGCGGTGTCGTGATGGGGGGGCGTGGATCAAGCAAAAAAGGGAAAGACTCACAGGCACAGAAAAAGGTGGTGGCGGCTGGGGGGAGGCGGGCATATGGGGACTAAGTGGTAATGGAAAAAGTATAATAAATATTATATATTTAAAAAAACATGGACAATTGGAATGGGAATACACAGGAAGAGTCCGAAGAATCAAAGGCAGCTGGCACTTTGAGGCTCCTTCCACTACCCCTCTCTCAAAGGCCGAGGGAAAAAAGCCACCAGTAATAAAGCGACGGACAGGGATGAAGCCTAGAGACGGGGGCCTAGTTAGCCCCCCGATTATGAGATCCATCCATTTTTCCATCTGTGTCTGTGTTCTGAAGCAGAAGCAGAGACACACAGAAGCAGAGGCAGGTAAAACTCTCGTTAAAGTTGTGAAAAAGACAAAAGCCTCGTGATACTTGAAACTGCCCTAATGAACCAGAGGTTCTCCAAGGAGTTAGCTAAAGCTTTAAAGGAGTTTTATCTGCAGGAAAACCTCTAGTCTGGTACAAGAGGTCTCTGCTGGCTCGACTACTGAGAAACTCCCAGGTTTTACACCTACACTCACACGCAGTGGCCTACTAAGGGCACAGATCTTCCAGCTGGGGAATTCTCTCCTGTAATCCTCAGAGGTGGCCCAGGAAAACAGGCACAGAGAAAGTTTCAGAAATAGGCTACATCTGGGGACACACTGAAATGAGTTAATCAAGTGTGCCAATCCATTCCTAGGGAAGTGAATCAATGAAATGGTGCTCATTGATGTTCTCCTGGTCCAGGAGGATGTAGTAACAGTGCCTGAATCAGTGATAGCTGTTTTGCTTTCTTGTTTCCCTTTTCTTGAACTGGTATTTTAAACCAGCATTATTCAGTTTTCTTTTTTTGCCTTTAGTACTTCACATGAAGTATGTCAGTTATTTTGGCATATTTTCATTTAGCCCATAGAATGAAGCTACATCCCCACCCGAGGGGGATGGACACCAGCCAGCAAATTTTAGCCCTGGGGATGAGAGCCACAGCTCGACACAGCATGTGGAGCAGAGCGGATATGTTTGCGACTGTGGTTATAAAGGGAAGTTTGTACTGCGTTTGGCGAAAGCATTGTCTGAACTCAATGCAGGGAGGAAGGGTGTGTGTGCAGGCTGGGAACAAAGAAATGAATGAATGCTGCTGTCTCCCAAGAACACTATTTCTCTGAGAACTGTTGCCTTACTCCTTTCTGGAGAAAATTTCCCTGTTGCCATTACAACCAAGTGGGTGTTGACAATCAAAGTATTCCATCCCCTCAGTCATACAAACAGAGTCCTGCCCCAGAATTAGACAAAATTGGAAGTTTGAGATGAAAAAGAATCCTTCTGGTGACAAAACTGAACACATGCTCTACAGTGCTGCCAATAATCATGTGTCCAGCTGTGGAACAGAGTTCTGTTTCAAAGAATAAAGCTGACATGCAAAATAATGTAGAGACAGAAATGGTTCAAGTGTCCGGGTGACAAACATTCATCTTCAGATGTGTCCTTGCCCTTTTTTCCTAGCTAGTTGGACCTATTGTCACCTGCAACTACACGAGTCCTGACACCATGCTGTTACAGAAAGTTAAGTAGTCTAGTAGGCTAGTGTGCAGACATACAGCAAATATGGTGGGGGTAATCCCAAAGAATTTGGAAATATCAAGGAACTTGCTCAGCCTCATGAGTCAGCATCAAAGCCACTCTACCACCATGTTTCTCTCGACTGTAACCTAATAGAATATGCCAGCATGTTAAGAAAAAGTGCCCAGTCACAAAAGGAAACCGGGGCACTGTCTGTCCCAGCACTGTATACCTGTGTCTGTAGGTGGGCAGGGATGCCGGGAGGTATAGTCTACTAATTTTAGCACACATACCAGCTTATCTTAGCCTGGTCAATACATCAAATTGCTGTTTCACTCTGCAAAGTTTATTCTAAACATGGAAACATGATCCATTTTTCATGAATCTCAAACACTGGATCTGTCAGTAGATATTCATGTCTTGTACTTCACAAAACTGTCCGATGGGACTCCTTCAATTCCCCAGTTACGCCAGGTTCGCCTACGTCACTCCTGTCCATCTTCCATGAGGGCCAATTCTTCCACATGTGCTCGGATCTCTCGATTCTTTCCCTCCCTGCTTTTGTCTCTTGGATTTTATTCCAATGATTTTTCCATGTGTTACAAGTTCAACTTTTGCCTTAACTACAGAAATATAAATGGCATGAAGACAGGGACCTTATCCATCCTCCTCACTACTATATTTTTTGATGACTAGAACATAGGGGGTACTCAAAAGAATTTGTTGAAAGCAAGAATAAGTGAATAAGAAGTTGGAAATGAATAATCTGTAGGAAGACTTCAATTTCTGAAGTTCTGTAATTCTACTTCAAGAAGATCAGGTACCACAGTGGATTTCTGACTTAGGGTTAGAGGTTTTATCAAACTTTAGTAACACTTTTCTAGATTTATAAATATAATTTTCCCTCATCTTTGACTTTACTTCATAAAAATTCACTTTAAATTTTGAACTTTAGTAAAGATGAAATAAATGACAACAAATGATGCTTACTCTTCTTTCCATCCATATCTGCGTGAATTTTCCGAGCCAAGAATCCACTTTTGTACACGGCAGCATTTGGGTCATGAGGAATGTCCAAGAACGGGTTGGTAGTACTCCCAATACGACTGAGGGTCTTTGGATGTGTTCCATTAGCCTTTTCATCAGTACCTTCTGATGGAGATTTTTTTTTCTCTTCATCATCTCTAAAGGGAGAAAACACAAAGACTGAGTACCTACCATAATATTCAATGAACAAAGTTATTTAGTGTAATAAACTATTGTGTTTTCCAGTGGTTTAGCAGCCTTAGGTAAAAATCATGATAGTAACAGCTGTCATTTACTAAATGAGAGTCTCCTATGTGCCAGGTATTAATGATCTTGACAATCTTGTAAGATGACATTAGTAGTAGCCTGAATTGAGATAAGGAAACAGACTCAGAGTTGAAGTAAGTACTAAAGTTAGAGATCTAATTATTAAAGGAAGACACAGTGAGGATAAGATTGTCAAATGCCTAAAGCCTCTGCTCTTTCCACCTGCTATAGTGCTTTCATGTTCATCTTCTTTCAAACGAGAGGACGTTCTTTGGCAGAGATCATGATCGGACGTTCTTTGGCAGAGATCATGATTTTGATGTTGAGTTTTGGTATCTGCATGGTTTAGCATATCAAGCATACAGAATACAACAAAAAAAATTACAGGTTAAGCCCAATGAATAGCATTGAACTATATCTACAAAATAACCAGGTTAATCTCAAATATCAAAACTACAGGTAAAGCTACCAATGAACGAGTTAGAACGGTGCGCCATGCACAATGCTTTGCCATCTAACAGCTATTGTTTTCCACACCACCACAAAAGTGCGGGGCACTCTATCAGCCATGCTTGAGATTGTAATGTGCATGAAGTATAAGGACAAAATGGGAGTGTAGAAGACAGTTAATAAGCTCTGATCTACTGCTGGAAAACAAAGCACAATAAAAAAAAAAAAAGAGCCCTTGTCTTAGCTTCTATTTTAATTTTCTGAATTAACTCCTGGTTTCATTGTTTATTAAACTTTGATTATTGAATCTTTTTTATTAAAACTTTGTGACAATAACCACCAATAAAATGTATTTAAAACAAACCACAAAGTTAACAATCATCAAAAGTGTTTATTTGGTGATTGAGAAAAATCACCTTTTTTCTCCACTGGTATTTGATAAGTAATTGTGAGATATATTGATAACATGGGACTCTTAGACATTTATATTTTACTTTTACTTTGAGATAATTTTAGATTTACAAAGATAGTACATAGAGTTCCCATATGCCCATCACCCAGTTTCCCCAATGTTAACATCGTATGTAACAACAGTAAAAATTCAAAACAAAGAAATTAACACCACAAAATGATGAATTAAACTTGACTTTATTCTGATTTTACCAGTTTTTTCACTAATATTTCTTCTGTCCCAGGATCCTAGCCATTATCCCACAGATCCTTAGTTCTCATGTCTCCCCTAGTCAGTGACAGTCCGTCAGTCTCTCCTTGTCCTTCATGACCTTGACACTGAAGAGTACTGGTTGGTTATTTTGTAGAATATCCCCAATTTAGGTCTGTTTGCTGTCTTCTCATATTTAGATTACAGCTATATATTTTTAGGAAGGATGTCATAGGTGACATACCTTCTCAGATTTTTTACTACCAGGGATATTTACCTTGATCACTTAGTTAAGGCGGTATCTGACAAGTTTCTACACTGTGAAGTTTATTATTTTTCTTTGTAAATGATTTTAGGGAGATATTTTATGCCTATGAAAATGTCCTCTTTTATTTTAAATTCTTTTTTAAAAAAACACAGTATTTATTTATTTTTAGAGAGGGGGAAGGGAACGAGAAAGAAAGGGAGAGAAACATCAATGTGTAATTAATTGCCTCTCGCATGCCCCCTACTGGGGACCGGCAGCCCAGGCATGTGCCCTGACTGGGAATCGAACCCATGGTTCGCAGGCTGGCACTCAATCCACTGAGCCACACCAGCCAGGGCAGTCTTTCTTTAAACTTCTAACACTAACTTTAGCATTATCAGTGATTCTTGCCTGTGACCATTATTGTTGTGGTGATCTAATGGTGATTTTATTTCCCTCATTTCTCCTACCTTACTAATTGGAACTTTTCTATAGGTATGGACAATGGATATTTAAGTTTTTCTTTGGGTTATAATCAAACAGTATTATTATTTAATTTGTTGCTCAAATCTTTCCAGCTTTGGCCATTGAGCATTATATCAAGTAGGCTGGCCACATAAGGTTATTGAGAACTTAAAATGTGGATAGTCCAAATTCAGATGTGCAGTAAGTGAAAAAATATACAGCAGATTTCAAAAGACTTGGCACAGAAAAATGGAAAATACTTCAGTAATTTTTTTATACTGATTACACATTGAAATGATAATATTCTGGATATACTAGGTTAAATTGAAAAATACATTATAAAATTAATTTTCCCTGTTTCTTTTTACTTTTATAATTTGCCTTCTAAAATTTTTAAATTACATGTGTGGCATGGATTACATTTCTTTTAAACAGGGCTGTCATTGGAAAGGCTTGCATGTTCTATGCCATGGAATACTAAAGCCCAAGTACAACAACAGGACAATAACTGGAGAAATGTTCAACATAGAGCTCAGTAAAACTGACAGTAAGTGAAAGTATTCAATGCTGCAAAACAAGTTTCCTGATATTGTGAAGGTTAATGAAAAGACCTTGTCAGACTCTAGAATAAAAATCTATCCTGGACAGAAATGCAGGCTGGCACCATCTGGTGATGGCTGTCTTTTGGGCTTAAACACACATGGGTGTATGACAGCTGGGACTTCCAGGACGGAAGGAATACCAGGAATAACACTGGAGGGCCTTTTCCTCCCCTGCTAGCAACCCGCCCCCCGAACCCTGCACTCACTTCACTTTTATTCCTGCCCTTCCTCCTACATTTCCTTGGTCCCCAGAACTTTTGCCTGGCTCTATTTGAGACATGGAAGTGGCAGAGGATAGGAATCAATTACATTATACCTGAAGTCAGGTTATTCTTGATGATATCATTGGGGGGTTTTATTATTTTTACAGATATCATAAATGCCAGTGCCTCCCCATCAGGAAGGCTGTTTCCATTGAATATAAAAGCAGATATAAATTAATACAAAATACTGATAAAAATAATTCCATAAATCAACTTAACTCATTTCTATAGAAAACAGTCCATTAACTAGGGCTTTCCCATGTACCCTGACCCACTGAAACATTTCTCAGAGTGACAATACAAAGGATTTTGTTAAAGTAAAATAGAGGGGATTCGAAGGGCTCTCTGTCTTGACTGTGAAAAGAAATGATTCATACATGAATATTTTGTACATTTCAAAAGATTCCTAGTGGAGTACAGCCTACTGAGGTTCCAGACATCTCAACACCTTACAACCTACGAAATTCCCCCAAATGTCCCTCGCATCAATCTGTTCTCTTGGTGATCAAGTGTATCATTCCGTGGGTAGTCCAAGTCCACTACATCATGATGCAGTTGACTTCCAGAAAGGCAAGAGCTCTGGTGCTGGCTGTGGGTAACTTTTCTTCTTCTCTGTTCTTTCTAAAGGGCAACTATAAATCACGAATTTCCCACATTCTGCCTTACTCATGACAGGTGCTTTCATTTTTAAAAGAAAAAAATTAGATAAGGAAGCATACAAATCCACTGGAATCTTATATTTCACTGAAATTCCACAAAAATGAAAAGCAACTGCCTCCTACAATTCATGACAGCTGAATACTGTTACATGACCCAGCCACTGGGCAGACTATGAAATATGCCACTTGGCAAGTCTCATTAAAGTGGGTTTTCGGCTAGCACCACACTTGCAAATTAAGTTATCTTGAAGGCCCTGTTATGTGGAATTCAACTATGGAAAATAAACTTGTGGCCTTTTGTGTGTGAGAGGTGTCAGGGTGGGAAATAACAGTTAAAAAGAAACACTGTATAGATCCGAGCTGAAATATTACTCAACCTGCAAAATCATCACTAGGAATGTGATATCAGAGTTGGACAATGAAGTTCAAGTTCAGCAGGCACTTCCAGCATTCACATTTTTATGTACATTTCCTTTTTTTTTTTACTGTAGTAAAATAACATAAAATTTATTTTAACCATTTTTAAATATGTACAGTTCTGTGGCATTAAGTACATTCACGTTGTTGTGAAATCAATACTACCAACCATCTCCAGAACTTTTCTTCATCCCGAACTAAAATTCTATACCCATTAAATACAATTTCTTATTCCCTTCTCCCTCAGCCACTGGCAATAACTATCCCACTCTGCCTCTGTGAAGTTGACTACTCTAGGTCCCTCAAATAAGCAGAATCTTACATTATCTATGATGGACCCGTTTCACTTAGCATAATGTCCTAAGGGTTCATCCATCCATCCGTTAAGGAACACTTGGGTTGCTTCCACCTTTTTGCTACTGTGACTAATGCTGCTATAAACATAGGTATACAAATCTTTTTGAGTCTTTGCTTTCAGTTCTTTTGGGGATATGCCCAGAACACATGCTAATTCTTTTTAAAACTTTTTGAGGAACCACCATGTTGTTTTTTTTTTTTTGGTAGAGTCTACAGGGTTCTCTATGTACACTATCATGTCATCTGCAAACAATGATAGTTTTACTTCCTCCTTTCCTATTTGGATGCCTTTTATCTCTTTCTCTTGTCTGACCGCTGTGGCTAGGACTTCCAATACGATGTTGAAAAGAAGCGGTGAGAGCGGACATCCTTGTCGTGTTCCCGATCTTAGTGGGAAAGCCTTTAGCTTTTGCCCGTTGAGTATGATGTTGGCTGTAGGTTTTTCATATATGGCCTTTATTACATTGAGAATTGCCCCACTTATTCCCATTTTGCTGAGTGTTTTGATCATAAATGGGTGCTGTACCTTATTGAATGTTTTTTTCTGCATCTATCGAGATGATCATGTGGTTTTTGTCTTTTCTTTTATTTATGTGATGTATTACATTTATTGACTTGCATATATTGAACCATCCCTGCATCTCTGGGATGAATCCCACTTGATTGTGGTAGATAATCTTTTTAATGTATTGCTGGATGCGGTTTGCCAATATTTTCTTGAGGATTTTAGCATCTATGTTCATCAGCGAAATTGGCCTGTAGTTTTCTTT